TCTGGGCCTTTTAGCAAGTACCTAGGCTGTTAGTATGGTAAGTTACAAAGTCTGTGATAAGTCAAGTGCGAGGATACAAACGCAGGCGACATCCGAGGTTTGGGCATTAAATAGAGCGAAACGACGAGTTCACACGCTGACGACCACACACGAAAGGCTTGACTCAGAACTCCGTTAAAACTCAATATAAGATACCGAATAATAAAAACGGACAAAAATTACACAGAGACGACTTCCAAATGGGCTCTGAAAAAAAACCCTGAGGAGAATAAAATGGCGAAAAACAAAGCACTAAATTCTCCCTCTACCGCTTCCAAAAAACGGTGACCCAAATACCCCTCACAGTGTACCTAGCAAATACTACGCGACTAAAATAAGATATACTAGTTACTGATGAAACCATACATCTAGAAATCTCTCGTTTTTTAGCTGGAACGTGGATATGCATTAAATTTATAAATAGATGCGAAAACCAAACAGGAGAAGCAATCCCAGAACACGGGAACTTTTCACGTCGTTCGGGAATACAAAGCAAACTTCTTTCAGAAGGTAACCTCTTGTTTGCTTAGGCTAAAAGGGTCTAAACTCTCGAAGCTTCGTCTACGGCCAAATTCTAGTTAGGATAGAATTATAGTGATCAGGAAAAACTGCCCGAAGAGTAAAATAAAGATTATTGCCTTGGGGTGCTGACAGCTGCAGATACATTTTCAGTAATCTTAATTAGCCTCAGTCTAAACACGGAGGGATTAAAACTGTAAAATATCGGAACAAAAGAAAACCTTCATTAAGGGGAAATCAAAAGTAAACCATAAGTTAAAGAGCGACTTCTATAAGCAGGTATTTGGAGCTGAAAGAACTAGGTACCTCACTCAGAATTTGGCGCAAAGTCATCTGCATTGTAGGAGCACTTATACCCGTTTCCAACTAAAATGTAATCACGTTCGTTTTGATTCCTCCCTGAAGCCTAAGAGCTGTCACACCAAAAATACCTTTCAGTGCAAACTTTATCGTATGTTACACAATCCTTGGCCTAGAAATAACGTTTTAAAAGGGGAGTTGTCACTAACTGAGAGCACGCTCGGGAACGGGCTCTACCTTTAAGCGCCAACACTGACCTGTCATTTGGTAATCAAAGGTGAGTTCCTCGCCCTTGCATATGTTTCGAGCAGCGAAGAGGGCCAAGCGCGGCAACTTTATGTTCAGGCACTCGATGAACGCACACCGGACCGTTAGGTTGGGATCACACTGCAGAAATAAGGAAAGCCAGGTGGTTACCGAGACGCAAAGAGAGGGTTGGCTGGGAAAGTTTTTTTTAATGCTGCACAAAACACCAAAGTGGCATGTTAAGTAAGTGTGCTTTTTACGGGACAAGTCAATGAACAGCAGATATTAGAACGACTGAGGGTGAGGCAGTCGGCGTGACCCCCTCAACTACTCCACCACATAATTCGGTGTTAGCGAGTTTAAACGATTATGAGCGCGTTAGGAGAGAAAAGATAGGCAAAGCAGCCGCTCGAGACAAAGCATACCAATCAGTAAGAAAATGATGGCCTATCTTACAGAATCACCGTATTCATGCAATCATTAATACTTCTCCCGACGGGATTTGATATCAGTCTGAAAAAAAAATGAAAGAGTATTTTTTTCGCGTTGGGTTGTAACCTAGCCATTCCCGTTGGCTTTCGACAAATGTGTGCAAAAGGGCAAATCAATACCATTAAAGTTGCAAAAATTTCCATTAGATAATTCAGAACAACATTTGGCGAGTG